TTGTGCCAATTTCCGCATATCTTTTGATATCGCCCATTCTTGTCTGCCCGATGGCCTGATCTGAATACTGAGGCATGCGACCTGTTCAGCGATTTTGAAGCATATTCTCAAAAATTCTGCTTTTGGTCAAAATTGGATGCTTTCCCTTCACTTCTCACCATTTTTCTTTACTCTTGCAACTTCTCGACAGGAGGACCGGGCTCAGTTCCTACATTGCGAAAAGTATACAAACCGGGGAAAACACTGACATCAACCACTTAATTTTTTAAGCTCTTTCATTATGAAAAGCCTCATCCGGTGTTTACTCACTTTCTGATTACATGAGTTAACGCTTATTACATTTTTGAAGCTACAAGACGAAGATCTTGCGTAAATGTGAGTGGAGAAAACTCACAAACTCGAAAGGATCTTCGTTGTAGATGCACCTTGCTACAGCTCTGTCCACGGATGTGTCTGCATACGGCGGTGAGGACGGCCGGCTCACTCGGTTGTAACGATGCATCGGGGACATTGCTGTAAGGAGAGGTGGGCTTTTATTTATATAAAAATAATCATAGTGAATCGGGGTTAGCTCCACAAAACTTCTTTTTAGAATGTTACGATGGCAATTAAGGGATTAAAATGTGAATAAACTAACCGCTGAGCTGTTCAAGCACATAAAATTGTGCCTTTTCAGCAAATTCATCCTTTATCCTTGGAACGGGAAGCACTTTTGAACTCATTTTTCTCTTCTGCTTCGGCGATTCAGGCCACAGCTTTGACGCCAATTCAATCAAGGTTGCCCATACCAAGAACCTTCAAAAATTCCAATTATCATTTAAGATTGATGGATGAATTTTTTCTGACTCTAACTCACGTCCTATTTTCCAGCAAAAGCTTTTCATTCTCATCTTCAGGAAATACTTCATCTGTCACATCTGGGATAGGGACATACTCGTCCGATAGCGGACGTACGAAACCAAGCGCACATATCTTGCTCCAAATAGGATCCAGAAGTTGCTGACACTAAGCAATAGATTTATTAGAATGATATAGGAGATAGATTCTTTCATTGATATTAGCCTCAAAATATAGCTGACATTACTTAGGAAACCAGTAGCGGATTAAAATAAAACTTCGTTTCTGACAATCATAACTTTTGGTTCGTATGGATTCCCTCGCTCTTATATGTTTGGGTTGCAGTTTTCTGCTATCACTGGACGCGATGCTGTGCTCGACGTTTGAAAAATTCTTTTTTGAGTTGTCTAATACCAATA